TTCTACATCTGGATGAAATGACGTCTAATCCAAGTGTATATCAAATTGGCGGCGAAGCTGGTCGATATCGTAGCTGGTGTTTTTGAAATTCTAAGTCAACATCTGTATATTCATTGCATGCAGAATCACCTGCATCCAATAAATTTCTTCATTTATGGGAACTTATGTGTATGAATCGAAGAGTACCAAAATTTCAACTTGCACAGATATAAGCGCAGACAAGGTCATGCTCTGAAAATATTAATTTATGTATTCACCAACAAAAGTTATTCATTTTAATTCATATGATGCATCTTTATATATCGACGATCAAGCATTGTTTGAAGGTCATATAAATATTGACTAGCCAACATATGTAGATTGTTTTGGATAAGATTGATCAGGTGACTCCTTTAAGGGAGATCTACATGTCATGGCAACTAAAGATCACCTTGAAGCATCAGGTATTGATCGTCTTGGAACAGTAGAATATGACAGACGGGGTTCACGGGATATTAAATTTGTTTTATGAGATGGTCTCGCCTCAAAATTACGTCCACTTTGTCGATCAAATGTACTGTAATCACAATCTATTGATTGCTCCACTCTACGTGATAGCTCTGTGGTCTCATCATACCATCGTTTCATTGAACTAACACTTCCATCATGATTCTCAATATTATGGTCTTTGCTACGAATGAATAATTAACATAACGATCTCATCGTATCATTAATTCATTTTCATAATTAAAAACTTTAATTTTTTTATTATGCATTATAACAAAAGAAACTATTAGTAGTTATAAAATATACTTAACACATACCATTATTCTCTCTTATAGTGATTGGGCATCATAAGTATCTCGGGGCTGAATAGATGAATTCACTAAAGGGGAAGCCAAACACCCCTTGGATTTAACTTAAGTAGGATTTACTAAATCCGATCCAGTAAATTTGGATTTAATAAACTCAGTTATGTTAAATCCATATTTCTTACTTTGCATTTGTTTCAGGATTTAACAATTTTACAATACATTTTTATTCTGAAGATTTCATTGCAATAGCTTGCTCACGAACGACGCCATAAAATGGTCGTTGTTCTTTTCAACCTCCAGAGAATGATTAGAGCAAATGAGACTGCTAATTTCGTTGCTCGTTTCGTGTGAGGAGTTGTCGCCCCTAAGAAGCTTAGGTTTACATGTTTGGCTCACTTGTATTGTGGTGTTTCACAACATTCCTCTACCCTGATACAGTTGCACGTTATGGGAGAACCTTACCGGGCTCAACCAAAAGATGGACTCCTCATGGAGTAGCTAGATTCCATCACGAGCCATCTTGACCATATTGAGTGATATTAAGATATACTGACTCAATGGCACAAACGTCTTCGAGAGATGGGAAAAAGCAACCCAACATTCTCTCTATGATCGTAGTTACGAGGATGGGATAGGTGGAGCAACGATCGATAACACAACAGGCGGGTGGCTAACTAACCCATAAAAGTCGCGTAGTGATTTTTTTTTACAGGTACCTTTCTGCCCCCATAAAGAGAGATATTTTAGAAATCATGTACCTTATGAATAATGTATGTGTTATATCTCTATTTTGACTCAATACAACATATTTTATGACACTGAGTCTCTTAGCAAGAAAGGTAAAGTGAATATCTACAAAAAATTTATTTCGACACCTTAACATTTAATTAATTATTTTCTTGTGGTAATCGAAGCTTGAAGTGACCAATGATGTGGCAAGAATGATACCTCATCAGCGCCATAGTGTCGGATCTAGGGCTGTGACACTCTACTATTTTTAGGCCCTCGGGCTATCCTAATTCAACACAAAGCATTATAGGTTCTACATGGCGTTAAACACATTAGCGATGCTATGACTACTATGGTTGAGTCATTGTATCATACAACTTGGTTCTTGAAGGTAGCTCCTGATCAAACAGTCGTCATGATGCTCGTTTACGTGGCTTTTGTCGTGTCAGGAGCGCCTTGGTCACCAACTTGACATAGGTGAAGTTTTGAGCCTTGCACCTAATTTACTCAACTTATGAGACATCTACCACGTTATTAGCTCCCATATATCATGCACGAAGCCACAAACAACTACACCTACGTTTTGCCCTATAAAAGATGTGTTGTGAAAAACAACGACAATAAAGTGAAAAACATATCAAGAATTACACCCAAAAAAATGCGACACAAGATTTACATGGTTCAAAAAATTGTCTACGTCCACGGAGCTGCAGAAGATTTTATCACTTCGAGGAATTACACTGTCGAGCGTCTCGACTTTTACAAGAAAGAATAATCTCTCTCTTCCTCACCTCTCCTTCCTCTCTCTCAATGCCACGAAAAAGGAACACAAGAAATATTTTTTTCTTTTAAGCTAAAGAAAAGAAACCAAAAGCAAAAGCTTTTCTTTTTTCCTTTTCCTTTTCCTTTTCCTTCAAGCTTCAGTTGAAGAGGAGGTTGTGGGATTTATTGGAGAGCAGGTGGATTTAGTCTTTTGTAAGAAGCAGACGAAGCTAATTAAGTAAATAAGAGAAAGATTTCCAACATCTCACGAGATTCTGCATGAAGCTTTTCAGGCAATTGACTTGAAGGGAAATCTTTAAAGAAGTAAATATTTAATTAACAATCAAATATTTTGTCATAACAGATTCTTGTCAAATCTAAATAGTGGATCGGGCTCCACTTTCTTGAATAATTCTCCCACTTGAAGAATGAGACACTAGCTGCACCATCCACTAACCTCACCGCCCTTTTCTTCAAAAGTGATATCCTCCACCTCTGTAACTCAAAGTTTTTGCCTTCATGCTAGAAGATCAACTGAAGTTGCACATAACTTCAGTTTCTCAAGAGTAATACCTTTAGTTGATATATCAACGTTAACGTAGTCTTGTACTCTAAGCTCTTTCCTGGGTTACTCATGAATCTACTTACAACTCTCACTGCATGGACAATATCCTTCCTCAGCTAAAAGTTTTTTTTCAATAAGTCCAGTCTTGTACCTCTTACTGCCATCAAATGCAGTTTTCACCCAGTACACTCACTTGTTATGCAATTCCTTCTTTTCGAGTGAAAGTTATGTCAGCTCTCACTTGCTCAAACTTTCATTTTGCAAAATTTCTTCATAGCTCTGTGGTTCTCCCCCATCTATTCATACAAGAGTCAGTTTTCCTGCCTTTGGCGCTCTACCACATTTCAGAAAACTGACTTTCTTCTACTATCTCATAATGCACCTCTAGCTCACGTGTCAACGCCTTAGTGAATTTGTAGTAATATACAGTGTGTTAGTTTTCTTACCTCAAGCCAATACTAATGCTCATTTAGTAACCTTCCAAGTACTATATGAGAATATAACTGAATGACCACCCTCATTGAGCTGCCCAACATAAATGAGGTTTTTCTTAAACTCAGGAACGTGCCTTACTTTTTGCAAAGTCCATTTGCTCTTGTTAGGGAGTGCAATATCAACGTCTCTCATCCTCACCATGTCCAGAGCTTTTCCATCAGCCAAATATGTCTTCCCAAAGTTTTCTGCAACATAGTTCCACATTAACTCCTGGTGGGAAAATGTATGGAAGAAAGCCCCTAAATCCAGTATCCAATAATCAACATAACTGTGAACCGCCAGCAATAGCGCATCCTGCATTTCTTCAATTATAATATTAGCGCCATCATTCTCCATCTTGAGATTCATACAGTTTATCTTTATGTGGCCAACCTTGCCACAATTCCAGCAGGTTGCCTGCTGACCATACTTTGATTTTAATCTTCCTCTGTTTGAGTTATTGTTCCATGATCTCCATCTGAAATCAACAACCAGTGCCGAATTCGAACCCGAGGTCTTGCTGAAATCTTTTCTACGCACCTCATCAGCCAAAATCAAATCATGAATATTATCATGTTCAATTTAGATTTACCTACAGAACTGCTAACTGTCATCCTCATGACTTTCCAGCATTTGACAAC